CCGGATGACTGGAGGCAAGTAAGAGTTATCGCCATTCGAAAACCTGGTAAGCCCGCGTCGGATTATAACTCGTACCGTCCCATCGCGATGCTGTCCTGTATACGGAAATTGTTGGAGAAAATGATTCTTTTTCGTCTAGACAAATGGGTCGAGTCGAATGGTTTACTTTCAGATACGCAATTTGGATTTCGGAGAGGCAAAGGAACGAGCGACTGTCTTGCGTTGCTTTCAACTGAAATTCAACTGGCCTATGCGCAAAAACAGCAAATGGGTTCAGTTTTCTTGGACATTAAGGGGGCTTTTGATTCTGTTTGTATCGATGTCCTTTCGGATAAACTCCACGATAGTGGGCTTTCACCAATTATGAACAACTAAATATGTGAGCAACTTGTTGTCTGAGAAATATGTATATGAGCTTTTCTCATGGAAACTCGACAACTTCACGAATTAGTTACATGGGTCTTCCCCAGGGTTCATGTTTAAGCCCCCTTCTTTATAATTTTTATGTAAGAGACATTGATGGTTGTCTTGATGAAAATTGCTCGCTAAGGCAGCTTGCAGATGACGGGGTTGTGTCCGTTATAGAGCCAAGTGCACCGGACCTGCAAGGACCATTGCAAGATACCTTAGACAATTTGTCTATTTGGGCTATGAAGCTGGGTATCGAATTCTCTCCGGAGAAAACTGAGTTGGTTGTTTTTTCTAGGAAGCATCATCCTGCACAGTTACAGCTTCAACTAAAGGGTAGAACAATCACTCAAAGTATATCTTTCAAGTATTTAGGTGTCTGGTTCGATTCCAAAAGCACGTGGGGAAAACATATTGCGTATGTGAAACAAAAATGCCAACAAAGAATCAATTTTCTTCGTACAATTACCGGAACTTGGTGGGGAGCACACCCGGAAGATCTGATCAGGTTGTATCGAACAACCATCTTGTCGGTTCTAGATTACGGTACAAGAATAATCAATCTTGAAATAAATTCTTTAAAAAAAAGTTTAAAATAGTGACTTATCACAATAAAAAGTGACTTTAGTGACTTGGCCTTAAAAAAGGATACTTTTTTAAAGACTGACTTGAAAAAAGTTCAATGAAAACTCTAGCGCCTTCCGCAAACTCCAGGAACCTTGTGCTGGTCGAAAGATCATGATTACCTTTGAATGGGCCCCCTCACATTGCTCAATCCCAGGCAATGAGAAGGCGGACTCTCTCGTAAAGGTGGGCGCGCAGGAAGGTGAATTTTATGACAGGCAAATTTCACACGATGAATTTTACCATTTAGTGCGTCAGAGTACCCTTTCGAGTTGGCAAACCGATTGGGAAAATGGAAATTATTCCTAATGTTTCTTCGAGAGCGTGGTTTAAAGGCTTGGACTTAAGTCGTGACTTCATTCGCGTGATGAGTAGACTTATGTCGAACCACTACTCGCTAGATGCTCATCTCAATAGAATAAACCTCGTGGACAGCAACATCTGTCGGTGTGGAAACGGTTACGATGACATCGATCACGCAGTTTGGCAATGTACGGATAATGACGCCGCCAGAGAGCGACTTTTGAATACCCTTGAAGCCCAAGGAAGACAACCCTATGTTCCTATCAGAGACGTGTCGGGAACTCGCGATATCTGCTATGTGCAGTCAGTTTATGTGTTTCTTCAAATGTCTAGTATAAGAATTTAATTCCTTTGTTTTTTGTCTCTCTTTATTAGTTTTTGTTTGTCTTGTCCCCCCGTCTCGATGAGTCTCATCGTCGCCCACTGGTCACCATAGCCGGTCGAACTCCAGACGAAACTAGAACCGCAGTACCGTTCATACTGGTGACAACGCTCTGATGAGACAACGAAACCTTACCCCCAAGCTCCTCCCCTGATCCTATCCTTCGACAATGTACCTCTCTAACCTCGAGTAAGCGGCGAGTATTCGGCCCAACTCCTACTAGACATAGAATTAAGTGAATTTTGTTACAAACAAAGAACAATGAACTATCGGGTCCGTAAAGCTAACGCGATTGAGCCTTCCAAATAAACAAACTAGTTAAAAAAAACAAAAAAAAGAGAGACGCTTGTTGAACTTATTCAATCAATTTCTGGAGCACAACATTGTTCCGGATGACTGGAGGCAAGTAAGAGTTATCGCCATTCGAAAACCCGGTAAGCCCGCGTCGGATTATAACTCGTACCGTCCCATCGCGATGCTGTCCTGTACACGGAAATTGTTGGAGAAAATGATTCTTTTTCGTCTAGACAAATGGGTCGAGTCGAATGGTTTTCTTTCAGATACGCATTTGGATTTCGGAGAGGCAAAGGAACGAGCGACTGTCTTGCGTTGCTTTCAACTGAAATTTAACTGACCTATGCGCAAAAACAGCATATGGGTTCAGTTTTCTTGGACATTAAGGGGGCTTTTGATTCTGTTTGTATTGACGTCCTTTCGGATAAACTCCACGATAGTGGGTTTTCACCAATTTTGAACAACTATTTGAGCAACTTGTTGTCTGAGAAATATATGAGCTTTTCTCATGGAAACTCGACAACTTCACGAATTAGTTATATGGGTCTCCCCCAGGGCTCATGTTTAAGCCCCCTTCTTTATAATTTTTATGTAAAAGACATTGATGGTTGTATTGACGAAAATTGCTCGCTAAGGTAGCTTGCAGATGATGGCGTTGTTTCCGTCACCGGGCCAAGTGCACTGGACCTGCAAGGACCTTTGCAAGATACCTTAGACAATATGTCTACTTGGGCTATGAAGCTAGGTATCGAATTCTCTCCGGAGAAAACTGAGTTGGTTGTTTTTTCTAGGAAACATCATCCTGCACAGTTACACCTTCAACTAAAGGGTAGAACAGTCACTCAAAGTGTATCTTTCAAGTATTTAGGTGTCTGGTTCGATTCCAAAAGCACGTGGGGAAAACATATTGCGTATGTGAAACAAAAATACCTACAAAGATTCAATTTTCTTTGCACAATTACCGGAACTTGGTGGGGAGCACACTCGGAAGATCTGATCAGGTTGTATCGAACAACCATCTTGTCGCTGCAACGGGTTCAATACCGTTGCATCCGAATCGCGCTTGGCTGTATGCACTCGACGCAAACGATGAGCCTCGAAGTACTCGCGGGTGTTCTCCCACTGACAGATCGTTTCGCGGAACTGTCCTTCCGGTTTCTAATCCGTTGTGAAGCAATCAACCCATTGGTAATAGAAAACTTTGAGAAGCTGCCTCGGTCAATACGCGGTCTAGAACTAGGTAACGTTTGGAATTTAACGTTTTTTCCTTAACATTCATTACTTTGCACAATGACCATAGAGAAGACACACAAACACAAACTGGCAAGCGGAAAAAATGTCATGACATTTTTAAACTGTTTTCTGCAGGCGACAGAACATTTTTGCACAATGAAGCAGACAAGCTTTATGTTATGTAGAATTTTGCTGATTTCTGGCTAATTATAGCATTTATTTGATGTTTATTGCATGGAATTTTAAGATAAGAATGAATACTAACCACTCATACACATAGTTTTTAAAAGTATGCGTACATAAGGGAGTTGATAATTAACTGTCACACGTTTGCAAGCTTGCAGATAAAATGTAATTTCAATAAACTGTTTGAAAAATAATGGGCTGCGACATTTTTCCTATTCTGTATCGCCGCCGGTTGCTTGTAATCAGTGCTGATAAAAATCCTTTCTTCTACACTCAATTTAGCTGAAAATGAAGAAAACCTTAACAGATAGACCAACTACCTGCATGAATTTGAATTTTGATATAAACAAATTCCCTTGATCTAGGCAACCTCTGAGTATCAAAAATAACATTTGTTTTTCTTCATTCGTGGCTGGATTCTCATTATCGCCTCTGTTGTTGTAAATATTGATATTCGTCTCCATCTTGGTCGGGATGATATTGAGGATCAAATGCAAAATGATTATTTTCATTTTAAACAAATATAGCGCTGAAGAACGTGGTTTTTAGACATAAGTCGACGGCAAATTATTGCCTCAAGCTGAACTGATGATAATATCGATGATTTAGGCAGTGTGGTCGACAATATTCAAAATAATCATTTTGCCCAAAATGTCGTTGATTATTTTGCTTTTGAGGATCACTTCTGATTTTGACAATTTTGGGTTTGATAATCGAGCACTGGTGAATATCAACAAACGCGTATTCGTTGATGTATAATAAACTCATTTGTTCATTTCGCTCGTTTCGTAACTACGAAGATGTTCAAAACAAACGCAATTAATCGACACTGGGTTGAAGCGATACTCCTTGCATGTGATGGTGTATACTCCGATACTCCTTGCATGTGATGTTGTAATGTAGAAATACGAGAAATACACGACCACCCGTGTGCTGGCGGTTTTGATTTGCTCTGGGCGATGGTTTTGAAAAAAATGTACTGTTACCACCTCTGCTTGATCATCTACCAATTTGTGCAACTTGCTCAAACTATTATTATTACCTATTAAAAGTATTCCTCGATATAACGTAACCGTCTTCTTACTCTTATATCGCTGATTTATCGCAAATGACCATTCAACCATACAAAGTAATACCACTATCGAACAGAGGAGACAATCCCCCATATATTGGTATTATCGATTTGTAAATAGAGGTATTTCCAATAAATTGACGATGAAAGTGATTTTCAATTGAAATCGACGATGAAAGTGATTTTTAAATTCATTTTTCACTTTCATCGTCGATTTTTTGAAAATATATCGATAATAAGAGCATAATCGACTGCACATAAAAGCATAACAGTCACATCTATGCTTAATTTCCTATTCTAATGAAAATGTTATGCGTTTATGTGTAGTCGAGAAATTGCACTATACAATTGGATAATACGAACATAATTAATCATATTTACAAAGCAAATCACAAAGCAATGATCACAGTAAGAATGCTGGTACTCGACTATTACAAATTATTTTATATATATGTTTAGCTCATGGCTATTCGGATAATCTAAAATATCTAGAAAATGTGTCTGTAAAATTTTTATGTTTTATAACTTCCATTCGCAGCATTACAAATAAACATAATAAATCCATTCGTTTCGTAATTCATTTACAGTATATTTTGTACCTTCAGCCCCACATTTCCGTATCTTCCAATGTTCCTGATTGAGGGTTCTGCAAAAAAAAAAAAACGTACAATTACAAAATTTGAAAATACTTATGCCTGTCCACGTTAAATTTCGGACACTAAGATAATGTCGGGGGAAAAATCTACACATAATATAACAACACCGAATGTTTATTTCAGTAAAGTATTTATATCGATAGCAAACGTAGCTTATTTGAATGTTTACTATTTTTCCTGTAAAATTCTCAAACTTTCTATGGGATACCCGCCATCAGGGTCCGTACATTATCCTAAGATACCTTAGTGGAGGCGTGCTTCAATTTCCTCTTGAAATCATTGATGCCGTTTGCTTTCCTTTTTGTTTCGAATAGTTTCCGCTTAACTAGAACCCAGTACCTATCTATTGGGCGAAGTTCTGGATAGTTTGGCGAATTGACTGTTTTTGGCACGTATTTGATCTCTTGTGCATCATACCATTCCAGGACGGATTTTGCATAGTGACAAGAGGCCAAAACAGAGCTGGAGTGTCGTGGCTTCAGATGAATGCTAACCAAATATTTTTTGGGGTATTTCGAACGCATCTTTGTCCAGAAACACTCGGCAACGTGTGCAAACTCAACATCGTTAGTTTCCACCGGTTGATTGTACTAAAATTTTATCCATTTAATCTAGTGCAACAATTCACGCACTAGATTAAAGGAATGCGTGGCTTCTGATGAATGATAGCCAAATATATTTTTGGAGAATTTCGAAAACTTCTTTGTCTGGAAACACTCGGCAACGGCATTCCTTTGCAGCATAAAAAGCCAAACCCGGAAGCTGTTGAAAGTCTTCGAGCACGTATGTTTCGACCGAGGGGGACGACTCTATCTACGATGCAGGAAATATTGTGTTTTGCTGTGGCTAGCTGAGCGTACGCTGAGTATTTTTTTTCAATAACTTTATTAGAGAAATTTTTAGCCGTTGGCTAGTTCATCTCTATAAAACGGGTACGCTGAGTAGATAGAAAGAAGATTTATCACGATTTTGAAGATTTCCTGCAGAAAGATGATGCGCGATGCAAGTAGATGCGAGAAATGTAAGAAGATTTTTCGAAGATTTATTCGCTAGTGTGAGATTTTTTGAGCATCTAGAATTGAGATTTAGATGTGTCGCCACACTCGGTTTCGACGTCCATTATGATACAAGATTTTATTGCAAAAAACTGGGTAAAAAGCTCCTTATCACGACTTTTTGCAGTGAAATTTTGCTTATCATTACGGTTGGGCACCTTTTTCACTTTGTACGCCATCAGCCCATGCCTCTGCTTCACTTTTTGTAAATATGATTTTGATTTTTCATCTTTGCGAGTCACATTACGAACTGAAAGGTTTGGATGTTTCTCAATAATGGCTACCACCTTCTGTTCCATTTATCGAGAGCATACTTTTCGATTTGTTCCGCTTTTAACCTTCCGATCCACTGGTCAAACGATTTGCACACACTAAACGCGGTACTCTTCGGCAGTTTTAGCTTCTTGGCGAGATCGCGTACCGACAACGTTTGATTTTGCTGCCGTTCGCACAAAATGGATTTAATGTATGTACTTCAACTTAATGGCTTAATTTGATGCCATTTTACCAAACTGAACAATAATGTAAACATGTTGTATCACTAAATAAAGTGTAGAGCTTCAGTCGTCATATAAGTGAAAAGTTTCAGCGGTTCATGAAATATTTCAAAAAAATACACTGAAAGAAAATTGTCCGAAATTTAACGTGGGCAGCACGGGGGCAACAATAAGGCATTTTACGAGACGTTTCGAGTCAGCTGTTTTTTTTCTGTTTACCTATTTTGACGTTTACCAGCGGGTCGATTTGTTGACATACCACGACCAAAATCAAAACAAAAACATCAGACGTAAACAATAACAATGCCTCGAGCGCGTTCGAGTGGCCCGCCAGGAACTGTCATCAAGACGTCACGTAAAATAGCTTATTACGAATTTCGGCGGAGCTCACATCAATGTAATGAATATAGTGGGAGAGGACGACTGCAACAGACTACTCTTTCTAGCATTTCGCACTGCGATGCAAGTGTGAAAGAGTAAGCTGTTTTGTTCTGTCATACCTCCGCCAGTTTTACCACTAACGGTTTGCCCAAAAGTGTCAGATTGCCCAAAAATGTCAAAATCATGTGAGCTATGGTGCATCTATATGTGTTTGAAAAGGATAGAGTAATTTATTTTACTCTTCAAAAAAGTTCAATGAGCTGTTACTTTTGGCATCCAAATTTATTAAATCTTGGCTGCTAGTACATTAACTATTCAAGATTTATCGGTATGATTTTGCGTTTCATTGTCTGAGTCTGTATGAAGTTTGAGTGACTTTAGTAAAACGCTTCATGTTTGACTGCCTTTTTTCAAACTGTTATTTCTGGGAGTACAATCAAATTTTAGCTGATATTTTACTCGTTATGCGATCTTTGAAATACATTATGATCTTTGAAACGCTTAAATTTACTAAAGGACAATGAACTGAATCAGCTGAAATTTTGTTCATTTGCAATCAAAATACTGATCTTTGAAACATATAAATAAAAAAAATCCGTTCGCGATGAAAAAAAGATAGGACAGTCTAATTTTTGATGATAAATATGAATATGAACTTTGTCAGAGAATAAAAAATATCTCGAGTTACTATACTGCCATATTCTACGCATATCTGTCCCATGTTACTTTTGGACGTTTTTCACTTTTCATAAAAACCGTACTTTTTAGGTAAATTTTCGAATGAAAATAGAAAACATGTAATTTGTTCTGGGCTTATATAAAAACATCATCAAGCCTAATTGTCCCATTTTGAAATTCTACGCATAACTGTCCCACAAAGATTTTATTTACTGAATCTATAATTAACGAATCGATTTGAGTAAACGAATGATTGCAACAGGAGTTATATGATCAAAAGAACTGGTACGATCCATTTCGGGAAGCAAGAGTTTTATTTTTTATTATTTATATGAAGAGAAACAGAAATTTAAATTAAAACACCAGCTCAGAGTTCTAATTTCAAACAACAAGAAACTCGTCAACCCTTAATTCCTCTATCGTGTCTACGTGTTTTATGAAAAGCCCCTAAATCTATTATATATATATATATATATATATACATATCTTAAGGTGATACTATTCTGCTACTATTCTGCGTCCACAGGCACTTTCACTGCCACTTCGAGTTTTCTAGGGAGTTAATCTCGGGCACTATTGCGATTTGAGGCACTAAATTATCACCACAGTTTTGTTATTGTATTTTTTCCGGTAGCAGATAATGGCCTCCTGGAAAAAAAACGAAGTGGAACCAGAGCCCGAGGATCTGGATCGTATCACCTAAAAACAATTTCTATGTAAAGATCCCTTCAGACCCATCGCGTTTGTCATAGTGGTCTTTGGTTTTTTGTTCATGATTCCGTTATAAAAAAATCTGAGACTTTGAACAGTTATCTGAAGTCTATGACTTGGAAAATTGGTAACTACACTGCAATGCTAATTTCTGTTTGCAAACTTTGTAAACATATCAAACAGAAATGAATAAATAGTGTATTACTGAATTATAAGTGGGGATGGGTGGCATTCACTAGCCCGAGAATACCCTCCACATGCTAGCCTCTTCACCAAGCATACATCAGTACACACTTATCGAGTAAGTAATTTTTACCGAGTTTTTGAATTGAGGAACTCTTCGGTAAAATTTAAAAAATCTGTGAAAAATTCAAAGTTGAGAAAATGTGTTACGAAAATTTACAGACTAACTTCTGTTAACCCCGTGTAATGATGAAAAATATAAAAAAAAATCGATTTTATCCAACCTTTACGAATAACAGTCATTTGAATTTTTACCGAGTCAGTCCAGTAAAAATACTAACTCCTGTAAAAAAAAAGTCTAAGTGTGTATACAGAAGCAGCGGAGCTCCACGCTTCTTCATCGAAACCACCCCCCGAGTATCTAGACAGAAAACCTTAGTTTCACGTACCCACATACAAATTGTAGATGTCTCCACCGTACGTAAACAATGGGTTCAGCCATCGTTGGTGGCACAACTTTTTCACATCAGAAAACATGTATTTGTTTCACTTCATGTGGACGTCGAAAGCAGGCCAAGAATAAATTTTGAGTGAGACGTATTACTGATGTTGCATTATTTTCCTTATATCTTGGAATTTAATCGATTTGATGAAATCAAAATTCATTATTTGGTCTGGTCTGGTTAATTCCTCGGGGGCATCTGGGACATGCCCGGAACTGACCAATGTGATCCACGGGGCTCGAAATGGCCACAACTGAAATTGTTATCATATTTTGAAGTAATTTGTTTTGTCACATGATAGGCTTTATTTCTTACCGGTCAAATTTAGTATCATGGCTCACATTCCCCGAAACATGTTCCTGCCACATTTCCAGCACCAGTTGAACGATTCTGAATCTGTTCAATAATGTTTTTTTTAAAGACTTTATTTAACAGATTTTTAGCCTTAGGCTAGTTCATCTCTTATGTTCAATAATGCTCTATGGATGAGGCTATGGGATTATGATACTTTTCATTTGAAGGTTTCTGCTTGCAATTCGCATTAGTTATTACCGATAAATACGACTTAGCTCCAAAAATCAATGTTTATCGGAAACAGTTGACCGATTCTAAATTTGATCAACAGCATTCAATGTGACCATAATACCTTTTGTTAGCTGGTTGTTTCGTTTATTCGGTTATGTGGTTGCTGAAAAACACCACGTAGTTCGCGAATTTCGCGATTTTCGTGTCTTGTTCCGTTCATATCTCCGGCACCAGTTGTTCGATTGAAAATCTATTAAAACCCGCATTAAAAATAACCATAAGAAGCGCCTAAACTCCAATTCGGGTTATCATCCCATTTTTATGTGGTATGGTCGTACCATCTATGATATCGTTAGTGTATGGTACATGTTTATTAGGGCATTCAACAGAATCATGGTACCTTTCATTTGATGGCTGTTGTCTTGAATTCGGTAGAGTGGTTGCCGAGAAATTCGTT